ATATATATATATATATATATATATATATATATATATATATATATATATATATATATATATATATATATATATATATATATATATATATATATATATATATATATATATATATATATATATATATATATATATATATATATATATATATATATATATATATATATATATATATATATATATATATATATATATATATATATATATATATATATATATATATATATATATATATATATATATATATATATATATATATATATATATATATATATATATATATATATATATATATATATATATATATATATATATATATATATATATATATATATATATATATATATATATATATATATATATATATATATATATATATATATATATATATATATATATATATATATATATATATATATATATATATATATATATATATATATATATATATATATATATATATATATATATATATATATATATTGCAATAATCATTAACTATGGCAACATTGCACATATCTTTATTTCTAATGGAGCAATTTTCTATCAGATTCTGCATTTTACTTTTACAGTACCAAATTTTGGAAGTCATATGAGAGTAGTATATACTACTAACTGATACGAAATTTAATACTAATCAATTATGTAATAAGTATATGCTATAATAAAAACAATGATATGCAAATACTTTTTGTGATCACTTAAGTGTATTTACGTTTCATAGATTCATAAAGTTTTTAGGGAATGATATCAAATTTTTATTTCGTAATGTTTATTTCATATGTATATTTACTGGAAAAATTATAGTTATTTAGTGCTAACTGACACTAAGAATTATAGCTGCAATATACTGTATTTACAATTACAACAGTAATTTATTATCAGCAAACATTTTTGCACCGACATTTGCAGACACCGAGATCTTCTAAATTGAGAAGTATGTTGATAATATTAATCTATAGTTAAATAAATCGAAATCAACCGAGATGTTTTTTCCGCGACATTCTTCTCTTATTAAACTGAAAATTGAAAGATTCTGTCGGAATATATATATATATATATATATATATATATATATATATATATATATATATATATATATATATATATATATATATATATATATATATATATATATATATATATATATATATATATATATATATATATATATATATATATATATATATATATATATATATATATATATATATATATATATATATATATATATATATATATATATATATATATATATATATATATATATATATATATATATATATATATATATATATGTTCCGTTGATATTTACTGAAACGTAAATTTGATTGTTGTACGAATTACAAAATTTGTATCATAATATAACAAAAAAAATTAATTTTAACATTTAGTTGCATTCTTTTTTCACAGACTATCCTCAACGGTAATTTAGGTACACATATTCATATTTTCACCGATTCAAGTAAAGTATGCTTTTCAATGAAAAATGTTGCGTACTGCTATAATTTAATTTGGATTTGATAGAACTAACATTAAAGATGTATTTAACATGTTTTTGTCAGTAATCGCGAGCGGAATTCTGCATGACAACTTCAGCATGCGATGCAAGTAGTGACCATAAAATCTATTGCTAGCTTTAAACAGATAGAATAGAAATCTTCAGTAATAACGTTTAAGATAATATAAAACAGTTATACTTAATATATATACTAACATTACCTGTAATGGTCCAAAAAGTACACCCAAATAGAAAATGTGAGATTTCTCAGAATCGACAGTGGGAGGGAAGGAAATGTCACGATAAGTTGGAAACTAACACTAATCATCCAGGTTACGTACTGTCACGAACACACTAATAAACGAAAGTTTTTCGAATACCAAGTATCAGCTTTCATGACAGGTGAGTTTCTTAGACGGATTGTCGGGACATTATGAACTTAACACATCATAGCCGCTATGCGTCCAGAAAATAGTCCAGAGTGGAGGCGCCAAGATCGCACGCGCGAACCGTCGTCGCCGTCGTTGCCACATTTTCGTCCCTAGTGACTTCGCCCATGTGTCCTTTGAACAGTTTTAATTTGTTACCGCATCTTTCAGATATATAAACATATTTTGGAAAGAAATCTTGTTCTCAAACTATATCTTAGGCGTAACGTTAATTGTTACGATTATGTTTCGTTGATATAATACCTTCTAAATCAATATACGTATAATTTCCGTTCTTTATATACATAGAATCTTGATGTATTCATATCCATAAATCTTACAATTATTCATCTCACATTTTCTATTTTTCTATTTGTATCTTTTCTGTTTGTAAATTTATAAATTTTCTATTTATACGTATATTTTCACAAAAGAAATAATAATTACTTTAAACGATAGAATTATGAATTTATTTCATCTTTTTTCCTTTTTCAAATTTAAAAAGATAATTAAGATTATTGTTAAAAATATATTGCAATAAGTGGTTTGAAGAAATAGAAACAATCATTATGTTTCTTTTCTAGAAACAAGTAATTACATTAAAATTTTAATTGTCAAGTGGCGCTGTTGCATGCTTGTGGTGGCGCTGCTCCATGAACCTTTCTTTACGTTCTTGGCAGTCATACTTCGCGTTGTTCTAAGCAAAGTACAAACTTTTATATCCATTGTAATATAAAAGATCCGTTAGGTTTTGTGTTAAAACGATGGTTCAGAAGAAGGTAAATTTACTAAATTGCTAAATAAGATTAATATTTCTAACAATAATTAGTTACTGTTATGAATTATAGTGGTTCGGTCTCAGCATGTTTTGGACATATGATATTATAAATATATTTCTTTTATATAGATTTGTTTATCATATTTTATAAGCTATTGGAAATGATATTATTTATTATTGTAGGAGTATATAAATTTTTGGCATTTGCAAAAGTTATAATGTTTTAGTTTTTATAAGATTAACTGCAACATTTTGCATGTACGCATGATTTTGAACAATGATAATGAATGCATAATAATATTTATGATATAAATGATATTAATATATGCATTTACAAAAATTTAGCCCAAGAAGAAAGTAGGAAAGAAGGTGGCTGCTGCACCTTTGGCAGTCAAGAAGGTTGAACCCAAAAAACAAACCAATCCTCTGTTTGAAAAACGTACACGTAACTTTGGTATTGGTAAGTTGGACACATAACTTTAGATACACAAATTAATTATAATATATTATCATTAGATAACATACAATATAACATACATGACAACAAAATAATAAACAATCTATTATTTAGGACAGGATATTCAACCTGCTCGTGATCTTAGTCGCTTTGTGAAATGGCCCAAGTATATTCGTATTCAGCGACAGAGAGCTGTATTGCAAAAAAGATTAAAAGTACCACCACCAATTAATCAATTTACACAGACATTGGATAAACAAACAGGTATATTTATTTTATATTTGTTACATGCTAAAAAATAAAACAGGAAAATTTAACAATTCATAGAGATCTATCATTAACCTTTCATGTTACAGCAACACAATTATTCAAAATGTTGGAAAAATATAGACCTGATTCAGCTCTTATGAAAAAATTGAAGCTGAAAGAGAAAGCTGAACAAAAAGTTCTAAAGAAAGAAGATCCATCAGTAAAGAAACCTAATGTGTTACGCAGTGGAACAAATACAGTCACTACACTCGTAGAACAGAAGAAAGCTCAGCTTGTGGTAATTGCCCATGATGTGGACCCAATTGAGGTATACTTCCTTGCCTCTTAAAATACTATGCAAAGTATACTTAATTGTTCTATCACAATGATGTTAGAATTTCTTCACCTGAGAATAAATTCATATAATCAATCTTTTTCAAAGGATGAAATGTGACTCTGAGTAATATATAGTTGTAGTCATAAACTATTGATTACAATATTATTCTTTTTTATAGATATATTATTTTTTATCACAGGTTGTTCTATTTCTACCAGCCCTCTGTCGTAAAATGGGTGTACCTTATTGTATTGTGAAAGGTAAATCGCGATTGGGACTCCTTGTTAGGCGTAAAACCTGTACTGCACTAGCTTTGGTCCAGGTAAGGGTTTTCATCAAAGCCAACTATTCTTACATAACATATAATTAATAATTTATAGTATGATGAATTTAAATAGAGCCAATCCAATGATAATGTTAATGATATAACTAAACAATATGTTATACTGATATAATTGTATTAGTATTAAATATTATAATTTTAATGTACTTTATTTTCGGTAACACATTATTTTTATTTCAGGTTGATTCCGGCGATAGAGCCAACTTCTCGAAATTGGTTGAAGCTATTAAGACAAACTTCAATGATAGATATGATGAAATCCGACGTCACTGGGGTGGTGGTCTCCTAGGCAGTAAATCTGCCGCTAGAATAGCTAAGTTAGAGAAAGCTAAAGCGAAGGAACTTGCACAAAAGCAGGGTTAACACCTACCTGCTTACTGAATGTTGTTTATTAAGTACAACAATAAAATACAAAACCAAAGCTTCTGTTGTTCTATATAACACACAAGTCCTTTGATTAAGACGAAAAATTTAGAATCAAAATTATTAATTTAAGATCAAATTTCATTATATAAAAACAATTTTTACTTTATTGAAACAAAGTGAAAGAATTATGCAAATTTAGTAATTATATAGTTACAATCATATTTAATTTATATATGTACATTAAAATATAATATAATTATATATATTATATTTTATATATAATATATATATATTATAATTATATATATATAAGTTTTACTATGAAACATTCATATTCTTTTTTTGATTAATTTTTCCAATCTTTTTATTCGCCCAGCTTCATGTTCTGGGCTATCTTGAATGATGTGACTCCTAGTGTCATGTGAAATATCTGTATTCTCAGGTTGCTTGAACTGTTCTAGTAATAGAACTTGTTCTGTCTTTTTCAAGCCCTACGAATTATTGAGATTTTAATATGACTGTTAAGTATTCTAAACGTTTATAAAAAGATTAGTTTACCTTCATATCCAAAATTTTTTGAAATTCTGGCGCTTGCAAATCTGGTAGACGTATTCTGCATTGTTTTACAAACTCTTTTGGAGATTCTATTGGTGACATCACAATTTTGAGTATCATTTCCGCACTTGCCATGCCTTTTACTACTACCTGTTTATAGTGAAATATATGTTTTGATACAAATCAATATATCAAATTAATATACAAATTAATGTGCTGATTAATTTATAAAAAGTTAATATATCAAACGAAATTACTTTAGTATATGTAGCTGGTGCTTTCCTTTGAACTTGATATCCTGTTGATGGGAGGTCCAAAAGAGCAGTTTTCAACATATGTACATCTAATAGTAATTGTTCAGCGCCCACAGTATTTAAAGGTTTGCACTTATACAATTGCTGTACTAATTTTACTATAAAAGAACTGCAAAGAAATACATTTTTCATTAACTTCCTTAGTAAAACAAATTCACTTTTTGTTTCAGTTTTTACCTGGCAAACTTGACACAGAGTTGAGTAAAATACTTTCTGCACGAAGATAACTTATCTCTGATAGTAGGTATTGTTTGTCGAAGGTGTGCCACAATAGTATTAACATAATTACTTTGGTCACCAACAACCTCTATGGCACTCCATTGAACCTAAAAAATATTTGCATATCAATAACGGTGAACAAAATCATACATATAACAAATATGAAACTGAATAAGTACCTTCGTCATTGCAGTTAATGCAGATTCACATGCAGACTCTAAATCTTGAACAAGTAGTTGTATACAATTCGATATAACACTGGAAAAGTTGTTATGAATAATATTAAAAAAATTAACTAAATATCGATAACCCGAAAAAGATATGTAAATAAGTATATACTTATGAAAAATATCTTGCTCCTGAGATAGATTAATCTTTTCTGAATAACATCTATCTGTTTTTTCTCTTAATTTTTCTTCCAATTGTTGTGTTGTTTCTAAGCAATATTCGGCCGTTGTTAGTATACTGAAAAATAACTTTGTGCAATTAACTTTTTTATAAATATTATGTTAATTAAAATGCCACCAATTAGCAAATATTTACCAGCATATACGCGATTGCTCTTCTTTACTAAATCTTGTGCTTTCACCTTCCTTTAGAAAACTTTGAAAATTTTGTATAAAACCCGATGTTGATAGGTCTCGAAAATCACGTATACTACTCATACTGGTACCAATTCCTGTACCACCTCCGATTCTGAAATAAATTTTAATTATAAAAGGTCATAAATTTAATTAATTCAAATAAAAAGCGTGTACTTTACTTACTTAGGTAAATTATTTTGTAATATTTTAAGAGCATATTCTCGCAAATATTTTTGAAAAGTTTCAGCTAAACTCAACATAATCGAGCCAGTACTAAGTTGTGTACATTGCAACATGCATTTTTTATAAAATACAAACAGATCTGCGCAAGAGGATAACACACTACTAGGACCTTCAATACCATCAAAATCTTTTGCACCAGGTGGTTGTGTTTTAGAATCTGATATAAATTTATCCATTAGATCTGCCAGATTACGATCCAGACTTTCTATATAGATGTTTAAGTATGGTTCAAAACATTTTCCTATAAGATTTGAAAATGGTGATGGTTTTGGCTTTTCGTTTTGTACCTGTTATATAATACAGTCGTTAGTATAAATGTTTAGTATAAATCTTAAGTAGAAGACAATTTTATACAAAATTCTTAAAAACCTGGTCATTTTGTTCAAACGGATTTCCTGGAACTTTATTATCAGTCGTGTCTGCAGTAGTAATCCTTTTATTTGTTATATCCACATTTTCCAAAGTAATACCACTAAATCTTTTTGTTAATAATGATTCAAAATTACTTGTTCTTTGAATTGCATAAAGTAATAGTTTTACATCTATTTCAGAACGTCTTTTATGCATTAACTTTGTAAGATCTTCTCTTGTAACATGACAAAATTGCACAGCAATTCGTTCAGAGATCTCCCAATCTTGCGGGAAGATTGTACCAAATTTTGACTCAAAATCAAGTAAATGCTTTTTTATCCATGCATAGCGCCGATCTATTTTATCTAACCATGCAAAATCTTGATTTTCATCAAAGAGATGTGCATATTCTTGTAATTGAATACCCACAAACCAAGTAAGTAGATCTTTCCTTGTAAAAAAGAATTGGTCATTACATTTGTGTTAAAACTATTTGAGTAACTAATCTTCTAATAAACATACTTACTTAACTTTAGGGTCCAATACGGATAACACTAAACAACCTTCTGTTAACTGACTAAAATATTTTGGATTTTGACCAGAAAATGCTTGTTTAAAATCTGCTGTAATTTGTTGAGCCAGTTCAATATGTATTTGACGTACCTTTATTTCAAAATGTTAATAAACATTATGTATATATTTTACTATTACTGCTATAAAAATTCATATATTACATACTTCATCAGACAATTGTTTCACTTGAGGTATATCCATATAACTACTAAAATGTTGCATCACCTCCATCACTGCTTGCAATGGTAAAACAATTTCACCATATTGTTTCTTTTGCGTTAATACTCTAAAGCAACAAGTAAATAACATTATAAAGTAATAATCACTAAATTACATGTGTTAACTATACTTTTTTTTAAGAAATTATTGTACATTACTTTAAAGTATCTACACCCTCTACGAGCATATGTAAATGATTTAAAGCTGTTATCGAGGCAGTGAGATTTCTTTTAGCAAAGTCCAGTTGTTTAATATCTCTTGTTATTTCCTTAACAACTTCTTCAGATTGTTCTGCTTTATCTTTGATATCTTTGATATGCACAAATAATTTTTTTATTACTTTCTGCGCATCTTCTAATGCTGCTTTCCCATCTTGACCTACATTTGTTTGTCCACGTACTACCGAACGAATTTCCTTGTCTATGTTACATATTTTTAATTCCATGTTATTTACTACATCGTCTATATTCGATAGAGATTGTTCGGTTGGGAATAATGAATTTATATAATCTACTACATTAAAGTTTGGTTGATCCAACGGATCTGTACTAGGTAAAACCTAAAAATTAAAAAATAACTTACTTAATATAAATTCATATAGATCACCAAAACAAAAAAAGAAAAAATAAATCGTAATACTTAACAAGATAAGAAAACGTTAACTGCTCATTTAGGATAGGAGTCAGTGTATATTTTGACAGTTATATGGTCAATCTAACCTGTTCGATCACATTCTGTACATTAGGTGGAAAGGTGTAAATAGTTGAATGTAAATCTTCTAATTCATCTTCCTCATGTCCTTCCATTTCTGTTTATGCTTCAATCTCAACTATACAACTCATACGTATTTCATTTTAAACGTATTTGTATGAGCATATGACAAGAAGATATATAAAATGTTTATACGAATACTTCAAACCCACAATATAAAAGAGTAGAAAGGAATGAATTTTATACTATAAATGTCACTCATTTGAATATTATTTTTACGTCTCGCAATACAACAGTTAATTATTTTTGTCATAAGTTCAAACAGTAAGGAGCCATCTAATGAATTTTGCATATATGTATAAATTAACATTAACAGATTATTTTATGACATTTATCATTTATATTTAATGTATTATAACTTGTTGTAATAGCTTAGTATCTAAAAAAGTTAGAAATAATTAATATTTTTATCGCTATAAAAGTAAATATTCAATAAAAAAACACATTGAAATAAAAAAATGGCACTATTTAGGTGGTTTTCACAATATTTTTATTTATCTGTTAACACTTATTTCATTCCTAACATTTAAAAATTTGTACAGAATAATAAAATATTGATATTATGAATATTATATTCATACATATATGTATATACAAATTTATCTTTTTCTGTTTCTTTTAATCGAATCTTTCAATTATAAATATACTATAAAAAATTATTAGGAAATATATACAAGTTATGTAGCATATTACTGTAAGTAATAATATTCTTTTCGCGATATTAATTCATCTCTTTGTCGTAGCAACTGTGTTAATTAAAATTGACGGCTCCACCTTATCATGAAGGTACCAAAGCGTTATTCATTTCGGTTTACACTTTGCATCGTTTATTTCATGGCTGACCCATTAGCAAATCCAACGTCGAAGATCGCTCGATAAGCGAAAAGGCAGCGAGTCTCCGCTCTATGTTTTATATTCTATGGGAGTTGGTGAAACGATCGAAAAGCTCGGTCAGTTGTAGCGCCGACTCAGCTCGAAGTTGTGTAGTTTAAAGGCACATCACTGTACAAAATAGACGCACGTTTTTTCCGTATTAAGTAACGTAGAGAGCAGTAAGATTTTGCGTAGAGACAACGCGAGAAAATTCATACGAGGATGCCACGCATTCAGTCAGCATACTGGGGGAAATTCGTATTCGTATATATTTTACAATTATTTTCATGTAAGTTGTACGCAATCGTGAACACCCACCCGGCCAGTTCATTCTGTTCTTGATAGTGAAAATTACCGATTGTTTTTCTATCGAAATTTCCAGTGTTATACAATGTTTCAAACTGAAAAGGAACTCAATCATCGAAATCAAGTTTCCTATTCTGAGAAATTTGCCCGATCGTTTTCGTTCTAAAACGTCTTATACGAAACATTCTAAGTCTTTTCAGAATTTGAATGAGAAAGTCATCTGTACTAGTGTTTCATTGACAGTATAAGAAAAACAAATAATCTAGTGAAATAAATGTACATCGATATACGTGACTTCATTTATGTAAAATATTATATATTTCGAATTTAGTCTAGACAATACGAATGTATTATCAGTGATTATGAGTGAAAAGATAACCAGGAGCAAGTTTAACTACTTATACGTCTAATAAATTTGGCTAAAAAGAACTTATTGTTAATTAATGAGAAATATTATTAGTTAGAGATTCTACCGAATTACGAAGTGTATAGATGTGTTTACATTCTTCGCGGTTTTTTTTTTAACTTTTCGTCATATATGTAACGTGTCACACGTATTAAATATTTTTCTTCAATTATTTAAATTATTATAACATTTCCTAAAATTCATTACGACAGTTTATAAATGGAATTCGCTTGACATTTGTCTACTCTTCCAATTATGGGAAGACAGAAGCAGGATACAACAAGGAATCAAAAATGGCTCAGCATATGTTCAATCTCATTCAATCATTTCAACCAATAACAAAATGGCTATACTTATATCAAATTTTTTATTTACCTTAATATATTATAGATATATTTACCACTTTTTCGCCTCAAAAATAATAATTACAGAAATAAAATAATTATGATTTTATATTATTATCAGGAAATATTGTTCAAATCTATCGTATTGCTTTTTGCAGATTTATGATAATTCTCGTAAATTATCACTGAAAACTAGAATTAAAATTAAAATACGTGACGAACCATTGAACGGATTCTCGTTTCTGCCATTTGCTCGCTTTTTCTTCCCTTTCGTTTCACGGTACACACAGAGGCGTTCCGGAAGGACTCTCGAGCTGCGAACTGCGAACGTTGTTCGGAAAAATTGATTTAAATCTGAAACGTGCGCGATCTAGGCGATTCGTATATACCATAAAACAATTCCATTTTCGACGATTATTCATTGTTATATGCTGATTTCGAAATGTCTTAAAAATACCCGGAATAGCCTGCGCGCGTGTTAGTAA